AGAAAGAAAGAAAGAAAGAAAGAAAGAAAGAGAAAAAGAAAAAAAGCCGGGCAGTAGTGGCGCACACCTTTAATCCCAGCACTTGGGAGGCAGAGGCAGGCAGATTTCTGAGTTCAAGGCCAGCGTGGTCTACAGAGTGAGTTCCAGGACAGCCAGGACTACACAGAGAAACCCTGTCTTGGAAAAACCAAAAAAAAAGAGAGAGAGAGAGAGAGAGAGAGAGAGAGAGAGAGAGAGAGAGAGAGAGAGGTTTTAATCACACACATGGCTCAAAAAGGCAGCTTATCTGTTTTTTTACAACAATTATCTGAATGCCCCCATCCTTGTTTTTAATACTACATAATAACTACTTATGGTGAGGTAATTGTCTTCTAAATTCTTAAAACTTGGCTAAAGGAAGACTTGAATGCTTGAATGCTCCCAAGAATAAAAGCCTGCAGCTTAATATTGCCTTTAACTTTTACTAGAAGGGCTACATTTTAAGGCTCAGAGCATAATAGTATTTCAAATAAAACAGAAAAGTTCTTCAGTTTCATTAAGTGCATATATTGGCATTTATTCCAGCTGAATGTGGTGATAAGTGTTAACATCCCTGAGTTATACTTAAATCTATACCTAAAAGCAATAAAAGAAATACATTCTGAACGTGATCAGCTTCTCATTCAGTAAAGCACTATTTTTTATTTATTAGTTAAAAATCCGATTCATGAAAAGTTTAAGCAATCAGTAGGTGATAAAATTATATATATATCTTAACTACAATAAAGTATTTAAAGAAATGACTAAATGGGAAAAATACTGAAATTAACCACCTGAATAGAGTTTAGTTACCACTAGATAACTACTACATAATCTTAAATCCTGAATGGGAAAATCTCATGCAACTCTAGTTGTACAGGTGTAGCCAGGTGCGGTGGCTCATAGCTCTATCTCAGTAGTCAGGAGGCGAATGCAGAAGAATCACAAGTTCAAGGTCACTGTACTACAGGCTGTACTTGAGTGAGACCATCAGAAACTAACAAAAACTTAAGCAAAGAAGCAATGGGTCTAGTGAAGAGCTGTAGTCTGAATGTGAGTTGTTCCCAATGGGCTTCTGTGTTTGGAAATGTCCTCTCTAGTGGGCTGCACTGTTTTGGAAAGTTAGAACCTTATAGAAAGTTATAGAGACAAAGCCTTGCTGGAAAAGGTGAGTCACTGGGGACAGGCTTCGAGGTTTTATAGCCTGGACTCACTTCCTATCTGCTTTCAGCTTCCTGACCATAGATTCAATATGAGCAATCCTAGGCAAGGCCCTCGCCCCCCTGCAAACATGCCTTCCATGAGGAATGCATCCCTTTTTACAGCACAGGCTAAAATCGCACTGTCTTCTTAAGTTGCTTCTTGTCAGGTATTTGGTCCCAGCATTAAGAAAAATAACTAATAAAAAGGAGGATACTAATCCCAGCTGGTTTCCTACCTTTAGGACTGCACATTTCCATATTTTCTTTTTCTTCTATAGGGCTTTCCCTCTTTGTTATTTTTCCATCCCTTGAAACAGGTACAGGAGCAAACCTGCGAGGTGCTGGTGTCTCTAAAGGAGATTTCTGCCCATCAAAATCTGTATCTTCACTTAAAGGCACTTTAACAGAAAGGAAGAAGCTTATCAATAGGGGATTGTGGTGTGTCTTCAATTGTAGAGGACTTTGCCTAGAATTTGTTGAGGCCCTGGGTTCAACTGCTAAGCAACACACAGATACACACACATACACACAAACACACACATAATAATCACAATAATAAAGATAAATTTAACTTCAAAACACTTTTTTATCTAGTTGTAGAGTCAGATTGATCTCTGTGAGTTTAAGGCCAACCTGTTCTAGATAGAGTTCAGGATAGCCAGGAATACACAGTAAGACACTATTTCAAAAATTAGTTTTTAATTAAAAAAAATAATAAAAAGCTTTTTTGAACACAAATGGTAAGGTACTTGCCTTGCAAGCATGGGGAACTGAGTTCAATCACCAGATCCATATTAAAAAAAAAATTAAACGTGGTAACATGTGCTTGGGGAGGCAGAGATAAACAGATCCCTGGAGCTCTCAAAATGGCAAACCTATCCTATTTGTCAAGTTTCAGGTCCGTGAGAAATGGTTTCAAAAAAGCAGGATGGGGCATGGAGGTGCGTGCCTTTAATGCTAACACTGATGCAGAGCAAGTGATCTCTCTGAATTCAATGTCAGCCTTGTTTACATAGCAAGGTCAGCCTGAACCACACTAAGAGACCTTCTCAAAGAAAAAAAAGGAAAAAACAATACTGACTAGAAATCAAAATAAATGGAAACTATAAATGTCTTTATAAAGCTCGTAAATTAAGAATCAATGTGATAGGGGTTGGGGATTTAGCTCAGTGGTAGAGCGCTTGGCTAGGAGGCTCAAGGCCCAGGGTTCAGTCCTCAGCTCTGAAAAAAAAAAAAAAAATCAATGTGGTAATATTTGAGTATTCTCAAATCTGTGGTAAGAGGGCACTGCTAGATATTTTTCTAAAAGAATTGATCTTTACTTATGTGTGTTTTGCCTATAAGTGCAGTATGTGTGTGTGTTGCGTGTTGCCTGTGGAGGCCAGAAAAGGGCACTGATCTCCTGAAACTCAAGTTATAAATGGATGTGAGCCACCATGTATGTTGCTTTTTGGCTGCATGTACATCTGTGCAGCAGAAGCATGAGGTCAGAAGAGGACACTGGATTCCCTGGAATGGAATTATAAGCAGTTAGAAGCTGCCATGTCAGTGCTGAGAACTGAAGCTGGCTCTTCAGCGGGAGCAGACTGTGCTAATCATTGAGCCATCCCTCTAGTCCTACACTTTCAATGGCAAGGAAAACTAACAAATTACCTGGAGATATAATACCTAATAATCAGTGTCACTCTTAGGAATTTATCCAAAGTAAATAAGATTAAAGAAAGAAAACGTTAAACCAGCATGCTAACACACCTGTAATCCCTATACTTTTGAGGCTGAGGCAGGAGGATCATCACCAGTTCTAGGCCAGTCTGAGCTACAATATAAACTCAGCCTCAAGAGAAAAAAGAAAAAACAGAAATACGATACATGACATTTGTTGTATTGTTACTTCTAAAACTGCCTGAAGCCCAACAACACAATGGGGAATAACTATACCAGCTAAATTTTCTTCTGACAAAATCAAGGAAATCAGTGTCCCTACGGCTAGCTTCTCAGAGGACTAGAGAACAATTACTAGCATTTTGATTCTCAACAAGTGATTTTTTTTCTGATTAATTAGAACCATAAACTAGGAATTATTATAATCTATAACTTAAACAACCTTTAAAAATAACCTCAAGTTTATTTGAACAACAAAAAAGATATAAAACCAAGAATACCAAAAATAATTTTATATTTGAGACAATGTCCTGCCACTTTATAAGTAAATTTTCGCCTTTTACATATGAAGAACATTCACCACTGGTACATTTTATTCTTAGAAACTAAGTATTTTACCTTGTTTAGAAACAAATGTGTTGTGTGAAGAAACACTGCTACCAACACCAGGATGTCCCAGTTTTCCAGAATACCTTTCCACTGCTCTGGAAGGGGACATGCCAAGTTGAAGATTGCTAGCCTTGAGTGCAGCATCAATAAAATGGGTCTAGAAGAAATAGAATTATTTCATTAATTTCAAATGATTTTACATATAATTTTTATGATATCAAGTAACAAGATATATTGAGATTTATTAGTATTGAAAGTAGCTTATATTTAACATACAATAAAAATGGGGTATACTTACATATGTTCAGGTAAAACAGTCACATATTAAAAAATGGTAAGTTTTAAGGTATATATTTTTATAAGTTTTAACAAATAAAACTAATTTCAGAAGGTATTTATTTATTTATTTATTTATTTTACTTCTATGACTATACTATAGCTGTCTTCAGACACACCAGAAGAGGGCATCAGATCCCATTACAGGTGGTTGTGAGCCACCATGTGGTTGCTGGGAATTGAACTCAGGACCTCTGGAAGAGCAGTCAGTGTTCTTAACTGGACAACCAGGGATATACACAGAAACTCTGTCTCAAAAGACAAAAAGAAAAAAATGTAAAATTACAGTGGTTCTATTTTCCTATTTTTAAAATGTTTTGGAGCTGGGTAGCGTTTTAGAACTTGGAAATTCCAAAATAAAGACTCAGCTATTTGTAAAGCTAGGACTTTTTCTTATAATATCTCAATATATCATACTCAAAAAGGCATTAAGATATTGATTCTTTCAATAAACTAAATGCAGGAGCATTTGCAGGTAGTGTGCACCCACTACACACTGTAGGTAGTTCTGTCTATGGAAGCATCAGAATCTTGAGGGAGCTTTCAATGATATCCAAGCACCATCATAGATCTGCTCTCCCAAAATCTCCAACACATCAAAGTATCTGTATTTCTATAAAGCTTTTCGAATGATTCCAATGCATATGCATACTTAGAACTGCAGATGTAAACAAATCACTACTTTCAAAATATTGTGACTGGGCTGGGGAGATAGTTCAGTCAGCACAGTGTTCCCCTTGCAAGCATGAGGACCCCAGTTTAGGTCCCTAGCTGGGCACAGTGGTCAAGTCTGCAGTTTTACTGCTGGGAGGAAAGGGAGCAGACAGGTACATCCCTGGAGCTTGCTGACCATCTGATCTAGCCAAATTGGTGAGCTCAGGATTCAGTGAGACTTTGCCTCAAAAATTAAGACAGTGACTGAGGAAGATACTGAAATTAACGTCTGGCCTCCACAAGAACACACATACAATACTGCAAAAGGAAGAAAAGCCAAGTGTAAGGAGAGGTCTCACAGCACCAACAATACTATTACCTAGAACACCAAGTGCCTACACAGCATAAAGAATAATGAGCAAGCCAATCATCACTTAAGAAATCAAGCTGTCACAACCTAGTGTGCTATCACAGCTACTAGTTAATGATTACTTAGAGAGGTGAGTACAAAAGGATCTCAGGACGTGCACAGCTTTATACCTGAATATCTATCTGTTGTTGCTGTAGTTTTTCAAGGTGCCTGATGTGCTGCTCCATAAACACATTCATTTGCTTCTCGTGATCATGACAGTGCAACTTCTCTTGCTTATTCTGAATGCTTGCTTGGTGCTCTGTCACACGTTGTAACTGTTTATCAGTCTCCTGTAACTTATTAAGTAACTCTCCAACAGAATTAACCTTGGCTTCCAAATCACTCTGCACCTAAAACAAAATATCAAAACAGAATTTCATATTGTAGAAAGATATCAAGGTGTGTTCAAGTCTTAGAAAGGTTATTTACAGCAATTGGTACTGAGAAGGTATTAAACTTGAGCCTTTGCTAACAAAATTTCTCATGATTCCATGCCTTTGCTTTTAGAGTCACAAAATTAAGAGGCTAAATAGGGTAAGCCTTAGGTATGTTTTGTTTCATGAACTATACATACATACTATACTATGTATGTAAATACACAACAAATCTGATACAAAAGATTTTATAATGCCAGGAAAAAAAAGATTCTTAGAATTAAAGAGAAGGAAACAGCAAAACCATGTAGCTTTTGATGCCACACATGTCGGCATGTGTGGAGCAGACAAAGCTGCGAGTAAATGCGCATTGTTGCCGTGAGCACAGAACCAAGTGTGACTGGACAAGAACCAAGGCCTTGGACTCATATGGCTGATACAGATGTATTTACAAAGGACTGATTAATCAGTGCACTAGGGGAAAAAAGCAGTCATGGTGGCACACGCCTTTTATTCTAGCACTAGGAAGGCAGAGACAGGCTGATCTCTACAGAGTGAGTTCTAAGGGAGCCAGAGCTATGGAAAGAAGCCCTGTCATGAAAAACAAAAACACAGAGAGACTAGCAACTGTGGCTTCTTCTTCCTGACTGTTCAGTCTGAAACTGCTGTCGTACAGAGACTTCACACTGAGAGGAGCTAACCCCTCCTCCCATGCTGTGTACAACTACCATGCTGAGGTTCCAGGTTACGGTGGTAGGAGGCGTGGCTCCACGAGGGTTCATACAGCCCATCTGACCCTCAGCTTTTCTGTATGCATGCATGTGTGTGTGTGTGTGTGAATGTGTGTGTGCCTGTCCTTTCTCCATTCTTTCGTCATCCCTCCTCAGGGTTCTAGACCCAAGTTGAGCAATATCACATTCCTATAATCACAGAAAAACTCAAAAAAAGTCCAGACAGGAAGATCCTGTCTCAAAAGAGAACAAGGTGGGGAATGGAGCTCAGTAGTGTGCTGTCCAACACTCATGAAGCCGTGGCTTTGATCCCTAGACCTGCATAAACAGACTGATGGTGCTTATCTATGAAGCCAGAACTTGGAGGAAGCAGAGGAGGTCAGAAGCTAAAGCTCATCCATGGCTACACAGCAAAATCACAGTCAGCCTGGGATACATGAAACTATCTCAAAAAAAAAAACAAAAAACAAAAAAACATAGCTTTGGGTACTTCTCCAATGTAAGGTTAGAGTAGGTCAACAACCTTGAACCTGAGTCTTCACTCTGCTTCCCATTGGCTCTAACATCTTATGCCTATCCTGACATATTTCTGTTTCTCCATTACAAACTGACAGGCTAGTATTATGATATAATAAGATCATATAAAATCCTCTGGTTCGTTCAGGAATGCAGGCCTAGCAATACAACTCAGTGTCATGACACTTACCTATCACCGCATAAGGGCCCTGGTTTTGAATCTCAGAGACTGATCACCCAGAACACAGACTGTCAGCACTACAATGAAAAGGTCCTAGCTTCCCTAAACCACCAGCACATTCACAAGGAAGCAATTTTCACAGCTTCTGAGAAGCAATCCACAAACCACAAGTAAGAAGAGCCTTTCCAACCAAGAATGACTAGACTGTCTCTGAGTGTCCAGACACAATTGTGTCAGAGTCAGTTCTTAACAAACAACCGTGTATCTCAGTGTTCAGGGATGCCTGGGAGAGAAAAGTACCTTGATCAAAGGAGCTGCTGTTGCAATGGCAGCGGCAGTTGCTGCAGCCACAGTTGTAGCCGAATCAATTCTATTGGGTGGAGTTTCAGTCTCCTCAGCAACAGCATTCTTTTCTGTACTCGTGTCTCCTAAAAGATGTACTTTCACCGCCTTAAAAACAGGCATGCTTTGAGCTCTTTAAAGACAAGGAAACAAAGGTTTTCAGTAATCTGCATTTAACCATTTGAAGAAATGCCTACATGCCCTAATCTGGGAATCTCCTAAAGTGGCTTTCTAGGTTTCTCTTAAATGTTATATTTTATTTATAGTTATGTGCAGCATGTGCAGGGGAGGACGTGTGTACATGTGAGACTGAAGCTCGCACTGTCAAAGACTGAGAGTTGCCTGATGTAGGTGCTAGGAACCAAATGCAGGCTTCTATAGGTGCAGCAAACACTGGGAACAACTGAATCCTCTCTCCAGCTCCATCTCGGGTTTTTTGTTTGTTCGTTTGTTTTGTTTTGTTTTGTTTTAATTAAAGTAGGGGCTAGTGAGATGCCTCAGAAGTTAAATGCTCTGGCTATTTTTCAGAAGACCCAGATTCAATTCCTAACACCACCACATAGTGGCTCACAACCGCCTTTAACTATAATTCCAGGGAATTGGATGCCCTCTACTGACTTCTTGAGGTATGTACATGGTATATAGACATAGAATGCGAGCAAGCAAAATACCCAAACATATTAAAAATTTTTTAAGTGATTATTTAGTTAATATTAACTAAAATAATTTAGTTAATATTATTAAGTTTAGGTCATTAAGAACTAAGGAAACAAGTTATCCTTTGAAGGCAGTAATACTATTTTTGAAAATATGACTTATACATGACAACCACACAGCTGCAGTTATAAGACAGATAATCAAGAAGCACAAATATAAAGCATAAGGTTTAATTCTCAAAGGCAGAAGAACTGCATCTGATTCTAAGAACTGATTGTTGTATTCACCAAATATTTTTAGAAGAATCCAACCCCAGCACATACACATTTAAAAAAAAAAATCCAGAAAACCAACAGTGCCTACCACGCCATTCCTTACTCAGACTTCTCACGTCCTTCTCCAATGTCTAGCCTGGTGAGTGCCCCACACACCCAGGACTTGTATTTCCACATCCCACCAGGTCTAGCCCAGGTCCCACAGCCAGTGCCCCAGAGTAGGCTGACAATCTGCATTTTGCAGCAACGAACTCGAGGCTACCACAGAGCCCCAAAATCCTGACTCTAAGCCTAGCCCCACCATCTCCTCCTGAACTGTAACTAACATTTCAAACTCCCACTTGGACCTGCTTTACCTGCATTCACCCAGAGGGACATTAGTGCTGACTCCACTACTGAACTCCGTAACACCACGTCCTCCTCCAGGGATAAGTACTGCTAAGTACACAACCTTTACATCCATGTCTTCTCTGAAATCTACCAGATTTAGCCTGGGTCTACTTAGTCCAGGCTTCCCTGACTTCATAGCAGAAGCTCCAGGCACCATGTTCAATCAGACCTCCACACTCCCATCTTGGAACAGGTCACTTTTGCCCACTTGACTATATTCCACCCAAGCCACTACTAACTTCTCCCATTTCCCACATTCTCTCTTCTCCCACAGCCTGCTCCATCCATAGCAAACTTAAAACTAACTTAAAGAAAGACCACATGCCCAAATCTCATTGAAACAATTATCAACATAAAAGACCAAGTCAGTGTCTCCTCTCCAAAGCCTACCAGTCCTATAGAAATGCTTGCCAATGAGAATTACCTAGATAACACCAGGACACAGAACTTAAAGAGCAATCATAAACTTCACCAAAGGATTCAAGGATTTTAAAGAAGACCCAAAAGAAACAGTCAATGAAATCAAGGAGAAAGTTTAAGGAGAATGAACACAAACACACTGCTAACAGAAATGACAAAGACAATCCAGTACTTGAAAACAGAATTCAATAAAGAGACAGAAACAATGAAGAGGACTCAAGCTGAAATAAAGATGGAACTGAAAAACTCAAAAGCCCAACTAGAAAACTCAAAGGAGACCCTTACAAGCAGAAACGATCAAGACAAATATAAAATATCAGATCTTAAGATTAAAGTAAAGAGTCCTAGACCAAAGAAACAAGGAACATTGAAAAAAAAAAAACAAGAAAAGAATACACAGGAGATGTGGGAGACCATGAAAAACACCAAACCTTCAAATTATAGGTATAGATAATCAAGAAGCCCCCCAAATCAATGACATAGATCTTCAACAAGATCCTAGAAGAAAATGTACCCTAAGTAAGGAAAGTGACAAATTAAATATGAATGGCACCCACAGGGGCACACATTTTAAATGCTTGTCTCTAGGGAGTGGCACTGTTTGAAAGGATTGGAAGGATTAGGAGGTGTGGCTCTAGTTACCGTCATCATAGTGTTTCTTCACAGAGATACAACAGTAACTAAGACAGAAAGACACACCCAAAAATACAAGAAGCACACAGAACACGAAGTAGCTAAGACCAGAAAAGAAAATCCCCCTGGCATATCATAGTTAAAACACTAAGTATCCATAACAAAGAAAGATATTGAAAGCTACAAGAGAAAAAAATGCAAGTCATATACAAATGAAAACCCATCAGAATAACAGCTAATTTCTTAATGAAAATTTTGAAAGAACCGTCTAGAGCAATGTATTCTGGGTGCTAAAAAAAAACAAAACAAAAAAAAAAAACAAACAGATGGGCAGCTTAGACTAACATACTAAGCTAAACTGTCTATTGTAATTGAAGGAAAAGAAAATTTTCCATAACATAAACAGCCTTAAAAAAAAGTATATCCGGGGCTAGAAAAGAGGCTCAGTGGTTAAGAGCACTGACAGCTCTTCCAGAGGTCCTGAGTTCAAATCCCAGAAATCACATGGTGGCTCACAACCATCCATAATGAGATTGGATGCCCTCTTCTGGTGTGTCTGAAGACAGCTACAGTGTACTCATAAAAATAAATAAATAAATAAATCTTAAAAAAAAAAAAGTATATCCAACTGTGGTGGTTTGTATAGGAATGGCTCACATAGACTCGTGTGTTTGAATACTTGGCCCACCATAGGAAGTGGTACTATTAGGAAGTGTGGCCTTGTTGAAGAAAGTGTGTCACTGGGAGTGGGGTGGGGGCTGGTTCTGAGGCCTCATATGCTCAAGCTATGCCCAGTGTGTCTCATAGTCTCCTTCTGCTGCCTGCACATCAAGATATAGAACTCTCAGCAGCTTCTCCAGCACCATGTCTGCCTGCACACTGCCATGCTTCCCACATGACAATAACGGACTGAAACTCTATAACTAATGTTTTCTGTTTTGTTTTGTTTTTTTATGAGAGTTGCCGTGGTCATGTTATCTCTTCACAGCAATAGAAACTCCAATACACCAACAAATGAAGCCTAACAGAAACACAGAACATTATTTCAGGATAAAGAGAAGAATGGTCATAGCAGAAAGACTGTGGGAAGAAATATAAAGTCATTTTATTAAAACACAAAATAAATAAATAAACAAACAAACAAACAAACAAACTAAAAAACCCAAACAAACAAGGTGGCCCACACCTTTAATCCCAGCACTTAGAAGGCAGAGCTATGTAGATCTCTGAGTTCAAGACCAGTGTGCTCTACAGAGTGTGAGTTCCAGGACAGCCAACTACACAGAGAAACCCTGTCTTGAAAAACAAAATACAACCAAATTAAAACAAAATTTAAAATTGATGACAACAAATCTCTAGTAAACACATAAGTCCATAGTGTTATGTTTTATAAAAAGACAAGGAAATAAGGAATGTGTTTGGTGGAGGTGTGGTAAGATGTGGGAGAAGAGGGTGCCTCTGTGGGCCCAAAGTGAGGCATCCCTTCCCCCGAGGGACCAGTTGAGAGGATAGTAGAGGCAGAGGAAGGTGGGGGGTGGGGGCAGAGGAAGGTGGGGGGGCAGAGGAAAGGAGAGAGAGAGAGAGAGAGAGAGAGAGAGAGAGAGAGAGAGAAGAGGAATAGAGGGCAGCCATGAGAAGCAAGGGGAATGGGGAAAGGGGGAAGAGGAGAGAGGACAGAGCAAGCAAGAAGGCAAGAGAGAGCAGAGGGGTAAGCAGCCCCTTTTATAGTGAGTCAGGCACATCTGGCTGTTGCCAAGTAACTAGCTATGTGACAGAGCCTAGACAAAATGCTAAAACAGCCTAGACAAAATGCTAGAACATAGAGATTAAACAACTCATTACTAAACACTGAATGCGTGAAAGAAAAATCTTCCTAAAACTAAATAAAAATGAAAATACAACACAACAAAACTTTTTTATCTGATGACAGCTACAGTGTACTCACATACATAAAATAAATGAATCTTTTTTTAAAAAATCAGAAAGAGCACAAATAAATAGCTTAAGGAAGCAAATTAAAAAGATGAAAACAAACAAACAAACAAACAAACACAAGAACAAACCTAATTCAAACCTAACTGGCAGAAATAAATAATAAACCAGAGAGAAATCAGTCAAATAGAAACAAAGATACAATTCCAATAGCTAGTTCTTTGAAAGATAAACAACTGACAGACGCCTGGCCCAACTTACCAAAAGAGAGGACCTAAAGTGACAGAACCAAAAATGAACAGCGACACATTAGAACAGACATCAAATACATTCAGAGTATTATAAGTGAATATTCATGAAGTGTGCTTCATGAAACTGGAAAACCTAAAAGAAATGAATGAATTTCTATATTCAGGGAAACCATCAAAATTAAACCAAGAATAACAAAGGAGGATATTGAATTAGTAATTAAAACCTTCTGGCCAAAAAACATCCAGCACCAGATGGATTCACAGCAGGATTCCACCAGACATTCAAAGATCTATAGGCAGTCCTTCCTAAACTATTCAAAAAAAGAAAAAAAGAAAAAAGAAAAAAAGAAAAGAAACCGAGTGAATACGCCCTAACTCCACCTATCACTCTAATACCCAAACTAGGTAAAGATACAACAATGAAAGAAAGAAAG